GTGTGTGTGACACTCTATAAAATTGCATTTCTAATTCCAGTTTGAATAAGGACGCATTAGTTAACTTAAGATTCTTTATTCATTTTGATGAGACTGAGAGGCAATAGATATACATCATTTAAGTAAAAAGGCAACAGGTGCAGCTCCACCATCTCGATTACGTCGGAAGAGTGCAGAAGAGCACGAATTTTTACCGTGCATATTAATTAATGATAACTAGGGATGTTTTCAGACCACGTGGTAACTCACGTTGTTTTTCATGATGGGATTTCGAGGAATTTCCCTGACGTCAAACAGTCCAATGGGGATTATTTCTGACAAATTTATAAGCATGTGCAAGGTGACTCAACGGATTTTATGAGCGCTTGTTCGCATAAATTAAAGAATGACTTGGAATTGGATCAGAAAATAGGAATTAATTTTTTACTTTTGAGTTAGAGAATGGGAAAAATTAGATAATGAAATTATTTTTTGTGTGAAATTATTGCAAATTTAAGTTGAATCATTGCACGCATACGCACACATACACACAAGCATATATATAGCTCGAGACGGAAGGTCGGCCGAAAGGCTTTAACCTTTCAGCTTTCCCAGCGAGTGGGCGGTTTCCGGGGATGATCTTTGCCAGTTGTGCCTGGAGTCCGGCCAATCTACCTTGAAAAAACTGAAGCACTCAAAGTAAGCTTGTCGCCTGGACAAGGTTGCATGGAATAGGACCTCGGTGCCATTATGAAAATCGAGGTAATGATCAATAGGGACAGACGGGGGCATTCGTTCTGACACACTGGAGGTGAAATTTTTGGACTGTCGTAAGGCGAGCTACTGCGGAAGCATTTGCCAAGAATGTTTCATTGACCAAGAACGAAAGTCAGAGGTTCGAATGCGATCAGATACTGCTCAAGTTCTGAACGTAAAGTATGGTAGCCAGCAATCTGGCTGTGTTTCAGAAACGATATGCCGGGTAGCTTCCGGGAAACCAGAGCTTTTGAACTCGGGGGGAAGTATGATTGCAAAGCTGAAACTCAAAGAAATTGACTAAAGGACATCATTTTTTTGTATCCTGCGGTTTAATTTGAGTCAATACATGTAAACTCATCCGGTCCAGAGATGGCAAGGATTGAGAAATTAAGAGGTCTATCTAGATTCTGTGGGTGGTGGTACGCGACCATTTTTATGACTTGTCTGGTTAATTCCCATAACAACAAGTTTCTATCCTACTAAATAAATTGACTAGAACAATGTATAGGCAATTTCTTCTTAGAGGGACAAGCGGTTCTGAGCCACACGAAAAGGACAAAAACAGATCTATGTTGCCCTTAGTATAGTTTTAAAGGTATGTTGATTTATTGTTAATTAAATTCGCACTTAGAATCAACACGAGGGCTGTTTGAGGCGGATCTCCTAATTTTGAGTCTTAAATTAGGTCCAGTGACGAGGATGATGCCGAAAATGGCACTGCACTCTCCAAACTTCCATACCAGTTCAACGGAAGGATAGAGGACCTAGACAGATTTAACGTGAATTAGCTCCGCTACACGGCAGGTTTTCAGTGGCACCGGAGCTCCAACCTACAACTCGACGCCGTCTGTGAGCTCTCTACCATTAAAACTAAGCTACCGCTCCCACTAGTTTATTGTGATTTCTTAACGGTATTAATTACTTTAGATAAAAATGTAAGCAATGAAAACATATATTTAACTTGTTTACGCACCTTCTGAATCTGTGTAAATGAAAAGTATTTAATATTTCTGTCTACCAGAAAATTAAGTTCAAATATTGAATATGAATTATATTGAATAACTCAATAAGTAAAATTCAGCAGAAAAGAAAATTTAATAAACGTGTTGTAAGTGATGGTGAAGTATTAATAGCGCAAGAGGCACATATGGCTAAGTTGCAACGCCAAGCAAGATATAACTGTGATCTAGACTTAGTAAAAATTGAAAAAATATTTTAAAAAAATTTATTGACAAGATGGAGTATCAAAATTAGAGAAGGATTAATGTGGTATTTCCGGAGGCATGTCGCCCGTGTTTACCAAAGACAGTAAACCCCCATCGGAGTGAGGAAGATTATTAGAATGCTTCGTGTGAGTGATGCTCGAACTTACCTTAAACACGGTTTGCCCCTAAGAGCAAAATTAGTTACGAAGAGTTATTATTATAGTAACATGCTCGCGATTATTAATTTTATTATCACTTGAAAAACGCGTGCTGGATTCGATAAAATTTTCTTTTCAGTCTTCTGTAGCCTATATTTGTAATTTTATGCGGATGTGATATGTAATCCGATAGAAAACAAGAAACATTGTAATGGAATGAAACAGATAGTTGCGACAAGCACTGAGCAAAAGTGCTTCTAGACCCTGCTGGGATACCGAATAATATACCTTCTAAAATAAGGGCCTCGAATTCTTCTTGAAACATTCAATACATATTTCAAATAAAATGAAGTCCTGGATATCTTTTTTATAAAGAAACATATTAATTGCTTATGTTCGGGTCTCATACGTATGAAGACCGTCGCTTCAAGGGACTGGTGTATATTACATACGTAGGCGTTTTAAGTCCTCACGATAACATAACATGGATGTGCATAGTAAGGTTCGAACTCAAGTATCAACCCTGTCATCAGACCATTGGTTCACCCTTTTGAGTGATATACCACTCAAAATTTAATACTCAAAATTAAGAGGTGACGTATTCGTTATCAAAAACGGAACTTTGAATCAGACAGAAATATGCACTCGGAAACATGTAAGAAATAAATTAAAAAAAATTATGTTGTAACCATTCTAATAGCCTATTGGACTTGAATTAGATGCCAGTTATGCTGAATTCCAGATGCGTGTTCGATACCTATTTCTATTTAAAGACTAACAGTGTAGAGGGGATGATTCACATTAAATCTGAAGCAATAGCAGCCATTTGGCTATAATCACAACAGCCGAGTGGTAAGGGTCAATATTCTTATGGCTAGCATGCCTAAGTCCTAAAGATCCATCAGGGGAACTTATGAGGATTTCAGATCGTTTTAGGAGCTAGGCTTCAAAGTCAACACGCGGCCACGGTTTCCTTCTCGTCATGGTCGTGAACTTTTCACCAGCATTATTTCCGTCGAGTCTTAGGTTCAAGACTTAATTTTATTAAAGACCCCTTATGTTGCAGGGATGATGCCTGTAAAATTTGCAGGGACTCCAAATACTCTTGTTGAAGTTGCGTGGATGGGGATAGAGGTTTGGAAGCTTAGGTGTCAAACTCATCGTCTGACCATGGCTCAAACTCAAGAAGTGTCTTAGATGTTGTTGGTTAATCTATGTTTTCGTAGGAAAGGGGAACCGGTATATAGTGGTCTCAATATTATAGAGGATGATGTCGTTAATCTTCATAGACAAGTCTTTTATAGAAAATTACAGCTGATCCATTGATTTACGTACCACTTCATTCGACGATCTTCAGGAATCCACGCCATCTAGCTTACATAGACAAAGTCTTAATATCGTCATTCACCGCATTTTTGTGGCCGACAGATAACGGCTCCGTTTTCCTAGGAAACCACAGCTTTAGAGGACAATGATCGCCAAAGAAATGCAGTCGAAAACGTTCAACAAACTAACTTTCAGACATGTTCATCTTTTGACTGTGGCTTAGAAAAATGAGAACAAATATCACAAACTTATTCAGCAACTCTTAGATGACTGATACAGGGTGATCAATTTAAAAGAGTACCCTTTGGTTTTTCTTTTTGCCCTTAAATATGATTGATGTGATAACTGTTCTAACACTGAAGTACAATTGTTTGAACCTTGTTTAAGTGTGGGAGGCGATTTCCAACACTGTAAGACTGTTACAATTTACTTATGAAGTAAAA